CAACTGTGTCTCCAGTTCCACAGGTAATGATATATTCTGTTGCGCATAGGCTCCTCCGTCAACTGCCGGTTCCACTCTCCGAAATCCTCAAGCAGCAGCTGTTATCAGCAGCAGCGTTCCCACTTCCACCGGGTAATAGGTTTAACAGCTCAGAGAACACATCATCAAGAAGAGTGTTGAAATATTGTGTGACATTACTGTTGCTGCTGCTGCTGCTCCTCCTGAATAGGTACAAGGCCCCCCAAGCCAACAGCTCATGGCATGTCGCCTGCTTTATCCTATTGATTTTACTGTCGATGGTCAACCCCTCTTTGCAAGAATCAGTATCTTTTCTTCTATGGTGCAAGATGAATACAGGCGGAAGATGCTCAAGTGCTCAAATTTTGAATCAATGCTGACCTTCTGGAGTGCTCTGAAATCGTTTGCCGGATCCCAGTCACTGTTAAACAGAATCACACTATCTATATCTGAAAGCTTAGTACTGGGAGAGCATGCACGAGTTTCCATCAAAAGCACAAACTTGCCACTCTCTTTACTGTTGAACTTGTTCAGTATGGATCGCCTCATTGGGGGGGAAACGTTCACCACAAATGCGTGCAGACAGTCTTTCCCAAATTTTTGATGAATGAAGTCATCCAGAATGTCTCCTACAGAAATCTGCCCAGATGCAGGCAGAGCCTGACAGGTCATGGAGAACGAACAAACGGTTCAAATTTGCCCGCATGAATTAAATAAAACTCATCCATCAACTAGTACTGAAATAAATGACTAAATAAGAATGATGGCTAAGAGAACAGAAGAAAACTTACTTGAAAAAGAATTAGGACTCTTAGGCCTCTTTTCCTAACTTCGATTAGAATCCTACTGAGGAGTTGTAACTTTCCACTAAGTTCAATTTCAACATCTAAATGGGCATCCACTGGAAGGCCCTTCACAATTGACCTCCCCAAAGTCCAATCCACCAGGTAAGGATGATCACAGCACTAGACAGAAGGGAAACTCAAGGTTATGTTAAAAAAGAGCAAGGGTAAGTCCAAGTTAGCAACCAAATAGGTGATGAAGGAATCAGATCGAAGATGATGAAAAGGAGTTTGGAAGGACAAACCTTTCGAGTTGCCATTAGTATGTCATGAAGGGTGCTGAAAGAATCTGTACTCTTCAAAGTTGAGCAGAGCAAGTGTGAATTTGACAAAAGGCAAGCACAATACTGTTCAACTTGCAGATCTGAGAGCCTGACTGGGACCCAGTACTCGATAAATTTAGAGATAGCAGAGGTCTTGCATTCATAAGCAACAAACTTTGTGAACCGTTCTTTCAACTTCATGTATTCCGTTTCAGATCCACTACTCGCTGGAAAATCACCATTTGTCTCTTCATAGTCTGGATCGAGTAACGAGAGAAATTTGCGGTAGTCAGATCTTCTGTCCTGATTCATCAAGCAACTTTCATAGCCTCGAGTGCTTCAACAATCTGAAAATAACAGAACTGAACGGTCTGAACCAGAATTGGCATGTATATACATTTACCTCTACTTGACGGAGAAGAAGTAATTTCTTATTGCTGGAAAGCACGGTGATGTGTCTTAAGCTCCTTGGTGCAAATGATCTTTGGCTAGTATCTATGATTATGGCTTCCCAACTAATAGACTTGAATATTTCAATATCCTGTCCAGTAACAGTATTGGAGGAAACATTTAGCACTTTTTCATGTCTTTATGCTTCCTTCAGCTAGTGAACACAAACTTTAAATACGGAAATATAGTAACAACTAATAGAGCACTTCAAACAATCAATATAAGTTCAAAAAGATGCAATATTTTATACATCTACTAGGAATGGCAGAGGAAAGAAAACACAAACACATAAGGGTGTGAGATAAGAACTGGATGGTTTACCTGATCAGCAGTGTCACAGTGAGAGATAAGAACATGGAACATAATGGCACCTTGCTCATTATGGAACTCCACAGTCCTAATGAAAGAACGAACATCTTCACTTCCTTTATACACAACAACGTTGATTGATGGTGCACAACATGAAAACTCATCTTCCCATCGAGAAAGAGAAGTATGGGTAGTGATTATTAAAAACGGATGTCTCATACTGCTAGCAAAGGATGATACTAATAGTACCACCTTCAAGATCCTATCCTGAACATTCAAAGAAGGTAAACTGCTTACACTTCATGTTTGAACAAGTGCAATGTAAAATAAGAGAGATCTTATATCATCATTGCAATTCCTGGAGCATCAGATGTATATCTACTAATTACATAGGGCCAACAGCACAAACAACATCCAAGTCTTAATCCCAAGAGTTTAACATAAACCGACATATGAAATCGGAGCTCAAAAGATAGAAAAAGATAAGATAAAGATAAAGAAGATATAAAAGGATAAAAACTTAATATAAAAAGCATAAAAAAAGATAAAGAAGATAACAAAGATATAAAAGGATAAAAACTTAATATAAAAAGGATTAAAAAGATAGAGAAGATAACAAAGATACAATGAGATCAATCCTCCACAAATATATTCTCTCTCCAAAGTCATACTCTCATCCAACCCAAGAAGTGTCATATCATTCTTGACCCCTCTAATCAACGTTTCTTTGAGTCTACATCTCCCTCTCCTCCCTGTATCGTCTCCCCAGCTCTCAATTCGTCTAAGAGGTGCATCATTCGGTCTTCAACGCACATGACCAAAGTCACCAAACCACCGCAATCGAGATTCTTGCATCTTATCTTCAGTAGGTGTTACTTCCACCTTTTGTGTATCATTCATCAAGCGGTCTTTTCTAGTATTTCCACACATCCAACGCAACATACGCGATTCAGCCATACTCATTTTTAAATTTGACCATCGTTACACCGCCCAACACTTTGCGCCATAGAGTAATTCTGGCTTAAATGATGTCCGATTAAACTCACACTTCAGTCTAGTTAGCATATCTCGATTAAATAAAAATCACGATGCATTCTTCAATCTCATCCACCATGTTCTGATTCTATAAATACTTCTTCATTTAGTGCACCATTCTTCTGAATTATGGAGCCCAGTCAGGGGCGGAGCCAAGGGGGGTCAGGGTGGTCAGCCGACCCCGCTGAAAGTTCAAGAATGTAGAGCTCTGAAATACCTTCGATTTGATATATTATGGGTCCCGTAACTCATTACGAGTAAAAAGTTACGACTTCTGGAAAAATCAGCATCATCTTAACTTGAAATAAGCAAAATTTGATGTGGGACGTTGATTATATTCTTAGATTTAAAAATAAAACACCTTATTCAGTCATTTTTTGTTCTGTTAAATGCCAACATCCTTGATTGGGATGAGTTTCGAATATGTGACCTGCTCCTTGGGAGTATCACAGTGATGCCATCGAACCACAAGGTGCTTGGCACACCCTATTCAGTCATTAATTGTGTGAACATTATGATACATTACACATATATCAATACATTAACCGAAAAATGCTTATAAAACTACCATTTATCTCAGCTACATATGAAACATTCAATTCAAGTATTGTATAACAACTATCTATTGTTTTGATAATGTATATAATTAAATTCCGACCCCCCTCACACAATTTTCTAGCTCCGCCCCTGAGCCCAGTGATAGGGACCCACATAGAATAATAAGAAATAAGAACAATATTAGAGTGAGTATCAATAGATGTTGAGGGTAGAATAGAAGGGAGGTTGGGAATTATCATTTGGGCCTGGAACTTGGAGAGTTGGCGCTCTTTAACTGCCTTTGTATTTCTCTCTCTATTTTCTGTAATATGACCCCTTTCAGTTGTACGCACATCTCTGTTCATCTTTGTTTCTTGAATTTCATTGTGAATTAGCTACATACTTAACATTGGTATCAGAGCCTCATTCCTGCCGCCTGTCACGGGTTACTACACTAGGAACGGTAGAAAATAGACTGGAAATCCTGGAGCGCAATTTTGAACGTTATCGCGAGGAGATGCGGAACCAACGCGAGGAGATGCGGAACCAACGCGAGGAGATGCGGAACTGGCGGAATGAAAGGCAGAATGACTTCACAGATCTGCGCAAATTGATTTTCCAGCAGAACGCTCGACGTGAGCGAGGAAGATCAAGAACTTCAAGGCGAACAGATTATGTCCGTTCGAAGGTTTTATCGCAGATTTCTTCGCAGGTTCCTTCATCAGATCTCAGTTCGCATCAAAGTGCGACACGATCAACGGGAGAATCTCCCAGTTTGCAGACGCGAACAGTTCCTCCAAGTTCGCCGGATTCTTTACTAGCCGATCCTTACCCTTCATTTTTGTCGCCCTTAAATTCGTATTGCTCACCGTCTTCATCGCAAGCAGTTTCTCTGTCTTTCGCAATATTCCACGCCAACGTTTTCTTCTAGTTCGCAAGCTTCATCCAAAGCAGATGTTTCAAGTTCTCAAATTTCTTCTAATACAGTTACAGTTGATCAAGCGACATCATCAAGATATATCAATTATGAGTTGTTAAGCATTGTAATTAGAAGCTTATGAAATAATGACATGTGTCAAAGTTAGTTAGAATTAGTTGGAGGGTTGAGCTAACTTTGATTCAAGCTCAATCATTATATAGCTTCTTTTGTACAGAATAGATCATCATGAATAATACAATCATCTTCTTCCCTAAACCTCTCCCCTCATGCTAAAGTTTTGTGTTCTATCTGAACAAGTTCTCGTTATCTAATTCTATTCATTTACAAAGATAACCTGAATTGTGTCATTGGTATCAGAGACTCTTGATCAAATTACTGATAATCAAAGTGCAAAAACTTCATTCATATAGTTAAGTTGAGGAAATATGGTGCAGACAAGGAACTCTAATTCTGAAATATATGAGGCTTTAAAGGTAATCCAGTTGGAGTTTGATCAGAAATTGGAGAATCAAAACATGATCGATATGATGAGTAAGATCATGAAGAAAGTGGTGGAATTGAAGAAGAATAAAAGTGCATCTGAGGAGGACGAAGCAAGTGAAGGCGATGAATCAAAATCTGGAGAAGAATCTTCATCTGAAGATGAAGTGGATGGAATCATTGCCAAGCCTGCATCATCAAATCAAAATGCCTTCCGATTCACGCCTAAAGTAGAATTCCCTACTTTTGAAGGTCAGAATGCAAAACTGTGGATTCAGAAGTGTGAGAGGTATTTTACACTTTGCAATATTCCTGATAATCAAAAAGTCAATCTAGCCTCATTGTATTTAGAAGGTAGGGCAGCGAGCTGGTTTGGACACTATATAGGGTCCAAGAAGAAGTTAAGATGGAAGCAGTTTCTTGCTCATTTGAATGCTAGATTTAATGATAATCTGAGCAATAAAGTTGTTCAAAGGTTTAATAGTTTGAAGCATACTGGACTGTTGGAGACCTTTATTGATGACTTTGAAACTCTCAAGGCTGCTATGTTACAGAGGAATCCCAAACTGCCATCCAGCTATTTTTTGGATTGTTTTCTGGCTGCATTAAAACCTACAGTAAAGTCATTTGTTAAGACTTTTAATCCCAAAAACATGGCAGAAGCTATAGAATTTGCAAGGCTACAGGATGAAACAGTTGAAGCTATTACAGTACAGGCCAAATCTGCAAACTTCCAGAAAATAGCTCTAAACAAACCTTTACTACCAACACCAAATCAGCCACCAAAGATGGTTATTGATCCATCTAAGACTGGTAGTACACCTGTACCTAGAAGGCTTGTATCAGCTAATGAAAGAGCTGAGAAGAGAGCTAAGGGTTTATGTTACTACTGTGACTAACCCTATAACAAAGAGCATGTGTGTAACCATAAGGGTACACAAAGTTTTTTGGTTGAAATCACTGGTAACCAGATGGAGGATAAGGGTGAAGAGTTGTTACCACAAGAGAGCAATAATGAGTATTTTATATAGGAGGAAGAACCCTTGATATCATTCCATGCAATCAATGGCTATGCAGATTATAGAACCATGAGATTGAATGAATATGTTGATAGGAAGAAGTTGTTGATTTTGGTGGACTCAGGCAGTACACACAATTTCCTAAACCTGAATATGGCTAAGAAATTAGGGTGCAGATTGGAAGAAGTGAAACCTTTGACTGCAGCAGACTAGCAGTACTTGATGGCTCTCAAACCAAATGCTTATTTTCAGGGAGATTTTTTGGTTCTTCCATTGGGTGGTTAGGATATGGTTTTGGGTGTGCAATGGTTGAGTACTTTAAGAGAAATTCATTGGAATTTTCAGGACTTATATATGAAGTTTCAATATAAAAAGCAACAAGTTGTATTGAGGGGACTGAAACTAGGTACTCTGAAAGCAATGCAGGGAACAAAGAAGCAATTTAATCAAACTACTCCGTTATGTTTGATTCAGTGCCAAGCTCAATCAGATGAAGATGGTGATGAATATGTGGGGAAACATTTTGGAATTAATATGGTTGGTGATTCAGATAAGCATGTCATTCCTGAATGTTTACAGTTTTTGATTGAATAATATGCAGATATTTTAAGAGCTTCAAGGACTACCAACTAGCAGAGGGGTTTCTGATCATAGAATTCCAGTGAAGGAAGGTTCTCAACCGGTAAATGTGAGACCATATAGGTATCCTTTGAAGCAAAAAGACATAATTGAAGAGAAAGTCAAGGAATTATTGCAAAAGGATGCTATTCAGCCAAGTGCATCACCATATGCCTCACCTGTAGTGTTGGTAGGGAGGAAAGATGGTGACTGGAGGTTATGCACTGACTACAGAACTTTAAATGATTAGACTATCAAAGATGAATTCCCTATACCAATTATGGATGAGTTGATTGATGAATTAGCAGGATCTAAGATATTCTCAAAGATTGATCTAAGGGCTGGGTATCATCAGTTGAGGGTTCATAAAGATGATGTATACAAGACAGCATTTAAGACCCATTATGACCATTTTGAGTTCTTGGTGATGTCATTTGGGTTGACCAATGCACCAGCAACTCTCCAAGCATTCATGAATCATATATTTAGAGATTTTTTGAGGAAGTTTGTGCTGATATTTTTTTATGACAAATTAATATATAGCACTGACTTAGAAGCTCATAAGGTTCATTTGAAACAGATTTTTTATGTGTTGAGGCAACATCAACTGTTTGCTCAGATGAGTAAGTGTGCTTTTGGAATCAAGAAGGTGGAGTATCTTGGGCATTATATTTCTGGTAAGGGTGGAGACTGACCCTAGGAAAATTGAAACTATTGTTCAATGGCCTATTCCAGTATCTATTAAACAGCTCAGGAGTTTTTTGGGGCTAGCAGGGTATTACAAATAGTTCATTAGAGGGCATGCTTTAATAGCTAAGCCTCTTACTGAGCTACTCAAGAAGGGCTCCTTTCAGTGGAATGATGAAGCTACTCAGGCATTAGGGGAACTAAAGAAGGCTTTAACTATTGCTCCAGTATTATCTCCACCAGATTTTAACAAACAGTTTGTAATAGAAACTGATGCTTCTAACAGTGGAATAGGAGCAGTTCTTATGCAGCAAGGACATCCTTTGGCATTTATTAGCATATCTTTGGGTGCAAGGTGGCAAAAATTATCAGTATATGAGAAGGAATTGTTGGCTTTAGTGTTTGCAGTTCAAAAATGGGAACAATATCTAATTGGCCAGACATTTATCATCAAAACTGATCAGAAAAGTTAGAAATGGCTATTGGAGCAGAAGATATCTACACCATTCCGATAGAACTCTGGAATTCTCCAACTCAGAATAGTGTAAGAAACAGTAGAAATGAAGAAGAACAGATCGAACACTTTATTCACTAAGACGAACAGATCAATGAAGGTATACAATGGACCATTTGAGATGCCCAATCTCCAAGACAATTTGAGATGCCTTATCTCCAAGCCTATTCTCACTAGAATACTTGCCTACCTTCTCCCTTCCCCCTTCCTTACAATTTATAGTACAAGTCCATTTATTATCTATAATAATAGGCTCACTTATTATTATCAATAATAATAGGCCCATTCCTATCAATACCCCCCCCCCCCTAAACGACCACCTTGCCCTCAAGGTGGGAGATAGGAATCAGCCATTCTTCCACTTCATTCTTCTGCTCCCGTGCTTTCATTACCGGATTTCCAGAAAGAATTTGTGGTGGAGTGTGATGCATCCGGGACCGGGTTGGGGGCAGTGCTCCAGCAGGAAGGACACCCTATTGCCTTTTTCAGTAGAAAATTCGTGGAGAGGCATCAAAAGTTGGCAACTTATGAAAGAGAGTTAATCGGCCTTGCTAAAGCCATTATTCATTGGAGACCATACCTCTGGGGTCGCCAGTTTTTGGTCCGCACCGATCACTCAAGCTTAAAGTACCTCCTGGAGCAACGCTTGACAACCTGTCCGCAACAGCATTGGCTAAGCAAGCTGGTGGGATTTGATTTTCGTGTGACATATAAGCCGGGAAGATTAAATGCGGCTACTGATGCCCTCTCACGTAGAGAGGATGTTGAGATAGAATGTGTGGCAATCACTATTCCGATAACCACCTTGTTTGAAACAATTAAAAAGGAAGCAACTGGTTCGCCAGAATGGTCTGCAATGGAGGAAAAGGTCAAACAAGGGAAACTAGGAGAGGACTGGAAGCTTGCAGAAGGGTTGCTGCTGTTTAAAGGCAGGGTTTTCCTCAGCTCTGACTTTCCAATTATTCCTCAGATTATCTCTGAATTGCATGACATGGGGCACGAAGGCATAGAAAAAACTTTGCAGCGTATTCGGCGCGATTTTTATTGGCCTGGTATGAGAAAAATGGTGGGAGATTACATCAGATTGTGCCAAGTTTGTCAGAGAAATAAATGGGTAAATCTACACCCTGCAGGGCTATTCCAGCCATTACCGGTACCCGAAAAAATTTGGGCCAATATCTCATTAGATTTTGTTGAAGGGCTGCCAAAAGTCAAGGGGAAATCAGTCTTGCTCGTGGTGGTGGATCGCTTCTCAAAATACGCTCACTTCATTCCCTTGTCCCATCCATATACCGCGCCATCAGTAGCAACAGTTTTCTTCAATGAGATTGTCCGTTTGCATGGTCTGCCGGAAACAATAGTCTCTGATCGTGACAAGGTTTTCATGAGTACATTTTGGAGAGAATTGTTTCGTCTGTCTGGAACAAAGCTCACCTTTTCATCCGCTTATCATCCGCAAACCGATGGACAAACCGAGGTCCTTAATCGCACTATAGAGATGTATTCGCGATGCATGACAGGAGAAAAGCCAACGAAATGGGTGCAATGGATACCGTGGATTGAATTTTGTTACAATACTTCCTACCATACATCACTAGGAGAAACACCCTTTCGCTTGGTATATGGCCGAGAACCACCTCGGTTATTGGCTTATTCTGCAGGCTCCACACGACTAGAGGCAGTTGATAAGGAACTCATTACTCGTGATGAGCTCGTAACCACCGCAAGAGAGCAGTTATTGTTGTCCCAACAGCGCATGAAGAGAGCATATGACAATAATCATTGCGAATTAGAGTTTAATGCAGGTGATTGGGTGTGGCTGCGACTACAACCATATCGACAACTCACAGTAGGTCGCTTGAAGCAACACAAACTGCTTCCGAAATTTTATGGGCCATTTAAAATATTAGCAAAGGTGGGCAGTGTGGCCTATCAGTTGGAGTTACCACCAGGAAGCAAAATACACAACACTTTTCATGTCTCTTTACTAAAGCCTCATCAAGGGAGTGTTCCACCAGCACCACGGTTGCTGCCACCACTGAAGGACGGCAAGGCTCTGCCACTACCAGCCAATGTTCTTCACTGCCGTTTAAACAGAGGTGAGAAGGAGCTGCTAGTCCATTGGCAAGGCCACACAGCTGAGGAGGCAACTTGGGAGCCGTTTGACACTTTTATTGCTGCTTATCCAGGATTTGAGCTTGGGGACAAGCTCAGTTTTGAGGGAGGGAGTGATGTTACGGATGCATTTTATGGAATTCCCTATCGCAGGAGGAAAAATATGGGCCAGCAGGAAGTTTAATTGGAAGAGGAATCTATCCTGATGCTATTTTTATATTTAATTTATTTATTTATTATTTCCTTTTAGTAATAAAAGTATTAGAGGTTACAGTTTTAGTTAGACTAAAACTCTATCATGTAAAGGCAGGATGCCTATTTATAATCTTTATTCGGCAATAATAAAATCATTGATCATTAGAAATTATTTCCATAGAAGTCACGGACTATCTCTCTCTCCTCCCCTGCGCTCTTCCAGCCACGGGCAAGAAGAAGAGTAACCCTAGCCGGCAGGTTACGACCTCAACCGGGTATCCTACTACCCTAAATCGTCCCTGGACCCATTCTCAATCCCAAAACTCTAACACTATCCTGACAAGCTGCAGCCTTTACCTATCCCTAAGGATGTTTGAATGGATGTTTCAATGGATTGCATTGAAGGACTACCAAAATCTGGTGGCAAGGATGTTATATTTGTGGTTGTTGACAGGATGAGTAAA